TTGAAGTCCTCCAGGCTTAAACTTGCCAAGGTTGGAGACCCCTGCCTTAATGCATTCAGGCCCGGACTAAGAGTGATGTCAGCGGCTGTTATGAAACATGAGCTGTTTCTTTGATCTCCTTCCACTCCTTTTCATGCCCTCCAGCTAGGAAGCTGGGACGCACCTCAAAGACGAGAAGCAAACCTCCGTGGCTTCAACCTGGCCTGTTCAGAAGCAGCAAGCCAAGGTTTTCCTAAATAGGCCAGGTACTCACCAGAGTCCTGCTTGCATGTGTGTGTGTGTGTGTTACATACATGGCCCATGCAGCTGGTCATCTGGAAGCCACTCTTGCACACTTCCATCCACCCCAAACACTTGAGGCTTTCAAAGAGATTGGACGTCCATTTGTCAGAAACGGTGTAGCGTCTCCTGCTTGGGGGGGGGGGTTGGACTAGATGACCTACAAGGTCCCTTCCAACTCTGATTATCAGTTCTGTTATTTATCGCCCGGCCTGGCCTTCTACGACTGCTTGCCTGCCTTTTCTGCACTTCTTCCCAGTTCTTCCTTACATCCTTTTCCAACGCTCACAACTGCACCCTGGTGTTTACATTTCTCTCCCCCCCCCCCAAAAAAAGGCATTATGACATTTCCAAAACATGGAATTTGCCCCCTCCCCCCCCTTTTTTTTTAAAGGGCCGCCAGACACGGCCTGGATCCTTTCATGCCACACGATGACTTCGTTGGATTTATTTTACTGTTCGGTTTATATCCCGTCTTAAACTTGGTTCACGCTTGAAACGGGGCTCAAATGACACGATGTGACACGACGTTCATTATATTCATAATTCTAGCTGACCAGGGTGGGATTCAACCGATGTTACTGGTGGTTCGGTGATGATGTTTTGCGCACGCAGGCGCTAGAGCGCGTACGTGTGTAATAGACCTAAAGCTGTGCCGCGCGGACGGCTGGTAAGTGCTGTGCGCAGGTGCGCAGCGTTTGAAAAGCCTCTTTTTTCCTGCTTTTTCAAACCTCAGCTGTGCCGTGCCAAGCGGCTGAGGTTGAAAAAAAACAGGAAATAAAAGGACAGGTAAGAGCCCAGGTGGGCGGGTGGGCCAAACAGCAGCCAACACAGAACTGGTTCTGCGTCTCCTCCTCTTCAGAGCTACCGGCTCTATAGAACCGGGCAGAACCGGTTAGCATCCAAACCCTGCAGCCGGCCCACCGACCTCTTTTTCTAGCCCCATGCACGGAATTAAAAGATGAGGGCCCCCAGCGTGCAGGGCCTCGCGTTGGCTTCGACCAGGGGTCCCCAAAATTGGGACTAGCACTGATGATGTTCGTGAAACGTCTGCAAGAAAACCCCCAAGCTCAGAGGGCAGGAAGGAGCCCACAGTCGTCCTCCCCGCCCTCCTCCTCCTCCTCCTCAACCCCTCTCCTTTCTAGCACTGATGATGTTGCCTAGCTGGCTCATGAAACGTCTGCGGGAAAACAAGCCAGCTCAGAGTGCAGCAGGGACCCCGTCGGCATTCCAGAAAAACCTCCATTGCAACAGGTAACTCCAAACCGCACATCGTCTCCAAAGTTCTGTTTTATTTGGATAGAAAACTGGCCCATCTGGGAAATCCTGAATCTGAAAGTTGCGGGTTTCCTTGCAATAAGTAAAAAAAAAAAAAACTACAAATCCACCCCCTGCACCCCTCACTTTATCACATGCCCCAATCACCATCCGCCCCAACTTGAGACGTCCTCTCACCCAGGTGCAGAAACAACATGACCTTGACTTGGAAGAAGAATGCTATTATGTCTAACCACATCCCCTCCAAGAAATCCCCCCTCCCTTTTTCCCAGGCGTGGAAGCGTCTGGTGCTAATAGAGAGTGGTGCACACACACACACACCCCCCACAACACCAGCTTGAAAGGGGTCGGTGTTACTCAAACGGCCCCCTGGTATAAGTCCGAGGCCTCCAAACTTGGCCACTTTATCGCTGGCTGAGGAATTCTGGGAGTTGAAGCCCCCTTCAAAGTCTTCAAAGTTTGACGTTGCGGCTGGAGGGGATTTTTCACGTCACAAGAAAAGGGGGGTCCCAGCCAGCCGTGGGGCCGGCCCCGTTGCTCCGTGGCCCCTCCCCTCAAAACCCCTCCCCCACCCCCCAACTCACAAGTTCTTGTGCTGCTCCTGCAGGTGAGCCCGGCCCTTCCGGTCCTCTTCCTCCTGCAACTGTTTGGCCATTTGCAGGTCATGTTTGACCAGGCGGTTACGCTGGACGTTGGTGGCCAAGTGGTGCTCGACTGGAAGGAGACACAAAGCGGGCAATGAAAGGGCTAAACAGGCAGCGATCAGGATGCCGTCCTTCCTCCTCCTCCTCCTCCTGAGAATGTTCCCTGCTTGGGTCATGAAACGCCTGGAAGAAAAGCACCAGGGACCCCCCAGTCCTCTTCCTCCTCCACCCTTCTGCTACTGATAATGTCCCCTAGCTGGGTCATGAAATATCTGGAAGAAAATCAACGAGCTCAGGGGACCCCACACCCTCCGCCTCCTCTCTACGAACCTCTCTCCCTTCTAGCATGGATGTTGATACCTAGTTGGGTAAGGAAACATCTGCAAGAAAATCACCAAACTCAGGGGGGAGCAAGGACCCCATAGTCCTTCCTCCTCTTCTTCTTCTTCCTCCTCCTCCTCTTCACAAACCCCCCTCCCTTCTAGCACAGATGATGTCTCCTAGTTGGGTCATGAAACGCCTAGAAGAAAAGCACCCAGCTCAGACAGCCCCAGGGACCCCACAGTCCTCCTCCTCCTCTCCTCCTCCTCCTCCTCCTCCTCCTCTCCTCCTCCTCCTCCTCTCCTCCTCCTCCTCCTCCTCTCTATGAAACCCTTTCCCTTCTAGCATGGATGTTGATACCTAGTTGGGTAAGGAAACATCTGCAATAAAATCACCAAGCTCAGAGAGCATCAAGCCCTCCCTCTCAGTCCCTCCTCTTCCTCCTCCTCCTCCTCCTCCTCTCCCTGCTCCTCAAAACCAGAAGTAAATTCCAGATTTTCATTAAAAGAAAAAAAAAAAACCATCACAAAATGTGATCCCATGACCGTGGGATGCTGCAAACAGCCGTAAATGCAGTCCTGTGAGTACATGGGAAGTTGTGTGTGTGTGTGTGTGTGTGTTGGTGTGTCATCCTAGGAATTCAAGAACTGGGTTGTACATACCTCTGGGGAGGTCCATTACAATTTTAAATAGTTGCTAAGTGAGCAGTTGTAACTTGAGCACTTCCTGTACCTAATTTTTCCTACAGTTTGCAATTTTTGTATGTGTGTGTGTGTGTGTGTGTGTGTGTGTGTATGGTATTTAGCTTTGTTCGGGTATTTTCCCACATCTTTATAGTTGTGCTTTTAAAGTTATAGCGACGTTGCTATAACTTTAAAAGCACAACTATGAAGACATGGGAAAATACCCGAACAAAGCTAAATACCATACATATAAATATCCACGAAAACATAACATATATATATATGCATATACATATACATACACCACACACACACACACACACACACACACGTATGTTCTAATTAATTCTGTAAGCTGCTTCAGATGGACTGATACATACCGTACATCTCAATAAAGAGACAGAAATGCCAGGAGCCTCCCAGTTGGATTAAAAATTGGAATAAAAATCCAACCAAGCAGAACCGAAGCAAGAGAAGAATAGCAAAAAAACGCGCCATGCGTGAAGAAGGAGAGAAACCAGCAGGGCTTCCTCGGGTGCAACTTACTTTCCTGTTCCTGCAGGCTGTGGGCCAACGTGTGATCCTCCCGCACAGCAAAATCTCGACACACTAGGGAGAAAAAGGAGGGGGGGAAAAAACAGGTTTGTTTCCTCCAGGAAGGCTGTGCAAAATCCCACACCAAGCTTCTTGCATGCTAACCAGACGCCCAAAATGTCCCCCACCCCAAAATTATCTCTCCAGATGCATCTCGAGGCTTCTTCACAAGCGCAACGTGGAGGCAAAGAGAGACCACAACAGACACAACCGGTGGGAGTGTAGAGCCGGTTGTGTGTGTGCCAGGGACAGTGGGAGCGTGCAAATCTTGCACCAAAGGCCCCCACCGAGGAGATGGTGAAACCGGCAACGTCTGCAGGAAAACTTCAAAGGGGTTTCATTCTCCAGGCTGGCAAGAATCGCTTCAATTCAGAGAGAAGTGATAAAAAATTAAAAAAAAACTGACTTTTATCCTGAATTTACCACTAGGGAGTCCCTCCACCAGAAGGAAAGAGGTGGGGAGACCACCCCCTCCTGCCGGGAAGATGGACTCCCAAGACTTCCAAGGCCAGACAAGAAGCAACAGATGGAAACGCACCAAGGAGAGAGAACCAACCTGGAATTTAGCAGAAAATTTCTGAAAGTGAAGACAGGGAACCGGTGGAAACTGCTTCAGATGTAGCTGCTCCATCACTGGAGGTTTTTTTTGGGGGGGGGAGGCTGGATGGCCCCTTGTTTGAGATGGTACAGGGTCTCCTGCTTGAGCAGGGGGTTGGACTAGAAGACCTCTAAGGTCCCTTCCAAGCCTAGGATTCTATGGTTTTGGATGGGAGGGAGGAAAAATATGAAGGGAGGAATTAGGTAGAAGAAAACAGGAATGAAGGAGGAATTGGGGGAAGAAAATGTAAGGAAGGAAGGCTGAAAAGAAGAGAACAAGGAAGGAAGGAAGGAAGGAAGGAAGGAAGGAAGGAAGGAAGGAAGGGCAATAGATGGAAACTAATCAAGGAGAGAAGCAAACTTGGAATTTAGGAGAAACTTCCGGAAAGTGAAGACAATCCACCAAGGGGAGCAGCTTCCCTCCAGACCTTGTGGGCAGCTCCATCACTGGAGGTTTTTAAGAAGAGACCGGACAGACACGTCTGAAACGGTATGGGCCAAGGTCTCCCTGCTCGAGAAGAGGGTTGGACTAGAAGACCTCCAAGGTCCCTTCCAATGCTGGTATTCTGTTATTCAAGCCAACTGGGTTCAGGAACAGTTCGCCCAGTAGAACAGCTTGCCCCCAGAAGTGGTGGCCGCTCCATCACTGGAGGTGTTCAAGGAAAGGCCACTTGTCTGAAATGGTCTGGGGTCTCCTGCTTGGGCAGGGGGGGTTGGACTAGATGACCTACAGCTCCCTTCCAACACTGTTAAATCCCAAGTGGCTCTGGGTTCTCAGCTGTTCTGCGGGGGTTGGGGGGGGGAAAGCCAAGCAAGGAAAGGAGACTGCCAGCTGGCCCTCTTCTCCCCCCCCCCCCACACACATACAGACCGCCCCCCCCCCCCCACTCTTAGAAGACGCCTCCACCCAAAGTTCCCAAAAGTTCGAGCCAAACCAACCGCAGCCGCCAACCCAGAGTCAGCCAAGAATGAATCAAACAGCTGCGGCCCCATTTACAAATAGCTTAATTGACCTTTCTCCAGAAGTGGGGGGTGGGGGGGGTAGGAGGGGGGGGGGAGATTGCTCTGAAGGATCAGCTTGGATTGGCTGGAGCTGGTTGTCCTGGAGATTAGCCCCCCCCCCTTCCTGGCCCCCCCTCTTTGGCTGGAGGGGAAAGGGTGGGGGGGAGGCTTTGCTTGATAACAGATGCAGCGTCTCTTTCTTCACAAAGCCACAGGCGGTGGGGAGGGGGATAAGGGGCATAAAAAGGGGGGGGGCCCCCCGCTCCCGGCCCCAATGCAGCAACTACCCCAGGGAAACCCCCCCTGCAAATCCCCCCCCCCCCCCCCAGGAGAAGAGAGCACCCCCATTCCACCAGGCAGGCAACAACCCCATGGATTCAAAGGAAAACCTGGCTAAATCTTAGCCGGAGTTCCACCACCGAACACCCCCACCCCCCGCCACCAATTTAGGGACCCCTAAAAGCAACCCAGGGAATGCGAGAGGCTTTTGAGAAGGAACCCCCCCAAAATCTACAGGTGGCCCTCAGCTCATTATGGTTTGTTTAGAATAGAATAGAATGAATAGAATAGAATTAGAATAGAAAATAGAAAAGAAAATAGAACAGAAAATGAATAGAATAGAATGAGAGAATAGAAAATAGCATAGCATAGAATGGAATAGAAAATAGAATAGAATAGAATAGAAAATAGAATAATGAATGGAATTGGAATAGAATAGAACAGAATAGAAAACAACATAATTAGAAAGAATAGAATAGAAAATAGAATAGAAAATAGAATAGAAAATGAATAGAATAGAATAGAATAGAAAATAGAATAGAATAGAAAATAGAATAGAATAATGAATGGAATTGGAATAGAATAGAACAGAACAGAAAACAACATAATTAGAAAGAATAGAATAGAAAATAGAATAGAAA